TGGAGATTTTGCGCACACCATCGTTCGCCTTCCGCTTCTTCTCGGACTTCTTCTGACTTGCTTGCTCGACTGCCCTGCTCGGTCCTTTCTTCGCCTCCGTCGCCCTCGCCTCTTGTCTCCTTACCTTCTCTGTTTCTATCATGTTCGCGATGCAAACCCTCCATCCAAACTTCCTTGCGTGCGTAGTTCGACAGCTTCTCGATATCAACCCCGAAGCAGGGGGGGGGGCTCAGTTGCGTGTTTGGCTCGCTCGCGCGGTCTCGACCGTACCAGGCAGCAGCATCTCATCCACCCGTTGATTCATGCCTCGCGTGTGGTAATCTTCGTGCGCGTGTGCGTTTTGTAGAATTTCGGCGTGGCGAAGAGGCAACAGGAGTTGGTGGTATCCAGATGAGGCCGAATGCCAATTGTTCTTTACAAACAGCATTGGAGTCGTTCCCGGGGGTCGATTGGCCCAAAAGTATTTGCCCTTGTTCAATGCTTCGTAAGCAACGCTCTAGAGACCGAATGGGTCAGCAACGGACGGGGATGTCGGCGCTGCCCAAAACGTAGAAGACACCGCCGTGAAATCGGTACGCAGATACTAGGACCAAAACACTTCGATTTTTTTATCCACGCCATGTTTCATCACTATTTTGTTCTATTCCTTGTCATCCGGAAAAAAAAATAAAAGAACAGTCACATGTCTATGCACAGAATTGAGTCCAGAAAGACTTCGGGATTGCTCCTCAGAGATGAGTCTTCAAATCGATTCATAGTGCTGTGCGTAATACTGTCGTACGTAAATACGCCCCCACCCCTATTAATACAAACAGGGTCGAGTAGCCCGGCAGGGTGGGCTCGGTGGTGCCCAGATGAAGACCACTGTGCGAAACCTGCGTATCCGAGAAGATAGGGCCAAGTACCTCTACAACCTCGACCCCAACTCGGCCTACTACGACCCCAAGACGCGTGCGATGCGCGACAACCCCATGCCAGAGACGGCGGCGGAGGACCTCGTCTTCGCTGGAGACAACTTCATCCGGTACGTTGGTTGGTTGTGGTGGTGTGCGTGTGTGTGTTTTTTTTTTTAGGAAATGGTCGGTATGTTCAGGTGAAGCGGTAAAAAAAAGCTGCTCTGAACGGGTCGAAAACGGACGAACGGCTGGCTCCCCGAACAGTCTCCAGACCTAAAAGTACAAATCTGTAACTGATGTTGTCACACACACAAGTCTGTAGCTGTTGTTTGAATATACACAATCGAAAGAGAGTCCACCCGTTCGAGACATCACGATATATCCATACTCAAAGAACTACGCTCCTATCCTGAGGATCGTGCCCAACTGCTGTCCTTCCGCACCATGCTGCGTATCACAACGCGTTGCGCGCGCACACGGAGGCCACCGTGTGCGCGTGTCCCCTGTCCATGTCATGTCTACAACGGCTCTCCCGCCAGTTGCTGGTATCACTCGCTGCGTCAGCGTGCCAGCTCAGAGTGGCGTGTCCCCAAGCCATGGCAGAGCTGGTCCTGCGTTGCCGCCGTGCTGTGCGCAGCCCCCCTCTCGCCTCTCTGCCTGTCCCTTAAAACGTTTCCCCTCTTCCCGTCGCTCCTTCCTAGATGATCTCTCATTGTCCGGTGCGCACCTCACGGTCCCCAAAACCACTGCGGGAGATAACCTGTCTTGCCACAGCGGACTGAGGTTAGGGTTAATCAACACCCTCCAAGTCTGTTCGAGAGTGCTTGCACACCCTGATCTGGCTTCAGCTGCACCTTTTGTCAAACGTCAGCCGCACTTTTGTCACCCAACTGCGTCCGCTCTCGTTCAGTCTCCCGACATGTCCTCCTCCGACCGCCGAACATCTACAACCACCTCGCTGAACCGTCGGAGCCTCGTGGATCGCCAGGTTCGAAGCCGGCACCCCCGAGAAACACCGTCTTTCCTCGGTGACTCCGGCTTCGCACCTGGTGATCCACGACGCTCCAACGGTTCAGCCAGGTGGTTGAAAAAAAAAACGAAAGAAAGTTTGGATCGTCGGAGGACGACACGTCGGGAGACTGGACGAGAGCGGGAAAAGTTGATTGACAGGCGCCAGGCGAAAGGGGGTGCAAAAAAAAACAAACACTCTCGAACGGACTACTGTGGTGAAGGGGTGATTTTTATCCGTGGTTGTGGTTGTGAGATCGTGAGGTACGCGCGGGGCAATGACACATTCTCTAGGAAGACGCGACGGAAATCTGGGAACGGAAGGAAAAAAGTGGAAGTGACAGGTAGAGGGTCTAGGAAGAGGCGACGGAAATCTGGGAACAGAAGGAAAAAAGTGGAAGTGACAGGTAGAGGGTCTAGGAAGAGGCGACGGAAATCTGGGAACAGAAGGAAGAAAGTGGAAGTGACAGGTAGAGGGTCTAGGAAGAGGAGACGGAAATCTGGGAACAGAAGGAAGAAAGTGGAAGTGATAGGTTGAGGGTCTAGGAAGAGGCGACGGAAATCGGGGAGCAGAAGGAAAAAAGTGGAAGTGATAGGTTGAGGGTCTAGGAAGAAGCGACGGAAATCGGGGAACAGAAGGAAAAAAGTGGAAGTGATAGGTTGAGGGTCTAGGAAGAGGCGACGGAAATCTGGGAACAGAAGGAATACAGTGGAAGTGATAGGTTGAGGGTCTAGGAAGAGGCGACGGATATCTGGGAACAGAAGGAATAAAGTGGAAGTGATAGTTAGGGGTCTAGGAAGAGGTGACGGATATCTGGGAACAGAAGGAATACAGTGGAAGTGACAGGTAGGGGGTCTAGGAAGAGGCGACGGATATCTGGGAACAGAAGGAATACAGTGGAAGTGACAGGTAGAGGGTCTAGGAAGAGGCGACGGATATCTGGGAACAGAAGGAAAAAAGTGGGAGTGACAGGTAGGGGGGCTGTGCGCGGTACAGCGGCAAAGTAGAACCAGTTCTGACGTGGCGTGGGCGCACGCAACCCTGGGCTGGCACGCTGACGTAGCGATCGGCAACAGCAACCGAAGGGAGAGCCGCTGTAGACGTGACGAGTTCCACTTGACTGGATCAGACCGTGCAACGGACGGGGTTTTGACGGAGCACGCGCACACAGCGGCGGCATACGTATGTGCGCGCGTACAAAACGCGTTGTGGTCCGCAGAATAGTGCGGAGGGACAGCGGTTGGGCACACCATGATCCTCAAGCTAGGAGCGAGGTCCTCGCACAAACGCCGGGGAACTCACATGAACACGCGATCTAGTCATCGGGCTCCCGGGGGGGGGGG